CCCTCCTCTCTCTCCCTCCCCGCTCTCTCTCTCTCTCCCTCTCTGATGGTGAAGTTGTCTCACTATTTATTGCAGGTGTGGATGAATGTGCCGGGAGCCCGTGTCAGAATGGCGGGACATGTGTGGATGGAGTCAACCAGTTCTCCTGCACATGTGCTGACGGATTCGACGGAACGCTATGCGACATCGGTAAGTGGTCATATTTGTTTGTTTGTTTGTGTGTTTGTCTGTGTTTGTGTGTGTGTGTGTGTGTGTGTGTGTGTGTGTGTGTGTGTGTGTGTGTGTGTGTGTGCGCGCGCGCGCGCGTATGTGTGCTTGCGCACGCGCGTGTGTGTATTCGTGTGTATGGAAGGGCACGTTCAGCACCAAGGACAGGTTCAGTACAGTGAAAGTCCAGCACGAAAAGCACGATATACGCTAGTCAACATTCTTAGGATTTCACAAAACATAAGAATGGTGTTTGATTCGCAGACATACAGATTGCTAATGTCCATCTATCAAACACATCCACACACGCACAGAAATGTGTTTAAAATTTTATATAAAATTTTCTCTACATTTTTGTACGATGGTTGTATCTTTCAGATATTGACGAGTGCGGCAGTAGTCCTTGTCAAAACGGAGGCACGTGTCAGGATGGGGTAAACCAGTTCACGTGTGACTGTCTTGCCGGGTATTTGGGAGATGTGTGCGGGTCAGGTAAGTAAGCTGAGAACAGAAGTAGTATGGGTGCGTCGGGTGCACCATAATTATTAGGAGGCACAGACCGGTGCTGAACTTTTTGATACTTCCAACACGCAATATACAATCCACTGAAAAGAGACAATGCAACTGCTTCCGGTTTGTTTTATTTTTTGTTGTTGTGTTTCCGTAGTAATTTTAATCCTAGAAACGTCGATTACACAGGTCAAAGGTTTTAGAAAGGTTATATCAGTTCCTGTCTTCATTTTCCTGCTATATGCATGTAGAAAAATGAATAACCAGAATCAGCGAGAAATTCACAGTAATTATTAAAACAAAAAAATAATAATAATATGCATGAAAACAAATATTTCACGCAAGTTTAAGAGCCTTCATTTGCATTTTTTGTTGCTGGGAAACTATTATTTATCAAACTTTACAAGCAGGTATATCAAAGTGACAGTACAAGTAACTTTCTTCTTTTTTTTTATCCAGAGGATGACGAATGCGCCAGTGCCCCCTGTCAGAACGGGGGAGACTGTGTGGACGGAGTGAATATGTACACTTGTAACTGCGCGGATGGATTCGAAGGGGATGATTGTGAAATAAGTATGTATTATGTAATTATATTCTATTTATCTCTTTACAATAGATGTAATGAATTTAATTATTTTAATGATCAGTTTTATGAAATATGATACGTGGAAACGCATAAATTGCAAACGTGTGAGTTAATGATGATCATATTGTGATCTGTTCGTCAAAATTAAAAATTGAAACTTCTCATATCCGTGAATAGTGTCATCAGGTTGATAAATTACTAAACAAAGAGACTCCTTTTTAATATACAACCGTGACCGTCTGTCACCTTCCTTAGGGCAATTCCGACTGATTCACATTGCACAGCACCGTTACTGCCACAGAAGCATTCCCAAACGTATTTGCATTATATACTCGGTTGCAGGGAACAGTATCTAGCACTATTAATCTTTTTTTCAATATCCCAGACATTGATGAATGTAAAACTTGGATATCAAAACATTTCATCTTTCTTTTTTATCCAGATTTTGATGAATGCCACAGTAGCCCCTGTCAGAATGGAGGGGCCTGTAATGACGCAGTGAACCAGTACACATGTGACTGTGCTGGTGCTACTGGATACGAGGGGACGCATTGTGAAGCAGGTTAGAGCTCTATTACGTCGTATGACCATCTGTATCTGTAAAGCCGGTATAACCCGGTGGGCGCGTTGCCGATCCTAGGTGCATACTCTCGGGCGAACTCCTCGCTAATCAAAGCACTCTGGAGTACACGGCGTACGCTCTTAGGCGAGGCCCTTGTCTAATCATGGCCCATGATTTAAAACTCTCTTGATAATCGTAACAGAATCGGGTATAACCGCCTTTCGGCGCAACACACCAGCTTCGCAGGCACGCGGCGCGGCGGCAGCTGGCTACATTACCCCGATCGACTTGTTACACCTACACCTAACCCTTGAACTTCTAACTCTAGACATTGTTTAAAGCTATCTAATGACAAAAAGTCTAAAGTCGTGTTAAGTGCCTTTCCCAAGGGCACAAGATCGGTGGCATGTCAGGACTCGAACCTGGGTCCTCTTGATTCCGAGTCGAGCTCTGAAAATGGATTGCATTGGAGGCCTTTAAGGGTAGTAGGCTATTGTTCATATCATTGACATTTCATGTTCCTGTCTACAGACATAAACGGTTGCTCGCCTGACCCTTGCCACACGGTAGCCAACTGTGCCGACAACCCCGCCCCCGGCACCGGTGCCATCTGCACCTGCGCCATGGGATATGCCGGTGATGGTCAGACCAGTGGGACTGGATGTACAGGTGGGACTTTTTTACCGAGGGAAAACATATTGTTTTTGCTCAGTTTCTTCTTCCTCTTCTTCTTCTTCTCCAAACAGTGACCTCTGACCTGAACCACTGTTGTGTCTGTTGCCATGGTAACCGGTGTTGGGTTACATCATGTTGCAATTTTATAGCAGGAGGGATTTAACCTGCTGTGTCCATATACATGAATGTGTTTGAGGAAGAATTAACAGAGCAGACTATATACGAAGGTAAACATTATGCATTTGCCTTGCAAATGTTACCTTTCTAGTTGTCAAATACATCTTTAGATTCATTCGCATTCTTTCATTTTTAAGACCTCATTTATTACAGTTCATGTAGCGAAAATTACAATAATGAACAAGAATTCAGAGACCTCAGACATAGACCTTATGTGATGGTGATTGCGCCCTCTTCTCATTCACAGAAGACTTAACTGATATAACTTTTCTTTACTTTTTTTACGAAGACATTGACGAATGCGGCAGTGGCCCCTGTCAGAATGGAGGAGACTGCGTGGACGAAGTGAACATGTACACGTGCAACTGTGCAGCTGGGTACCAAGGGGACAATTGTGAAACAAGTATGTGTTCTTATCATTCTATTGATCTCTTTACTACTTTTAAATGCAATGAATAATCAGTTTTACACATAAGGCCACACCGACTTAATTTTATGGATGACATGATTTTCGCCTGTCACTCTCAATAAAAAAAGATCACGTCCACCGAGGCTCCGGCCTGGCTCTAGGCCTGGGTAGTCCATGGTAGTTAGCAACAATACGGAGCCGGTGGTAACTTTAGAAGATGGCACCCAGGCTACCGAAGCTCCACGACTCAAGAACTCAGTACATACGTACAAGACCGATTCATGAATTCCGCAAAAAGTCAGCATGTGCCGGCTTGTCTACGTCGCTAAGTACTGTCGCAAATTCACTATACCAGCTTTGTATTCCTGTGGTTTAGTAGCATTTTCATTTTTGGCCGGAATTTTTTTTATTCGCAAGCGCGCACTAGTTTGGGTGTCTTCAGAGGATGTCATCCATAAAATTAAATCGGCGTGGCCTAAGACATATAATAACATCTAAAATACATCGTTGTGGGCGTGTGATTTGACGATGATCATATATTTTTTCTTTATCATGATCTGTTGGTCAAACTTGAAAATTGAAACTTTTCTCTTTCCCAATGACTCAGATATTAATGAATGTGCCAGCAACCCTTGTCAGAATGGAGGAAACTGTGTGGATGGAGTGAACCAGTACACGTGTACCTGTGCTGGCGGATACGAGGGGACGCATTGTGAAACAAGTAAGAGCTCTGTCTGTCGCATAATTATGTCGTATGATCATCGTATCCTAGAAAAAAATAGCCTGAATTTTTAGTATTATTATCCATATGCAAAGTAGTCGGAAGAAGGAGATACTCGACAGAAATGCAGAACAGAAACAAAATGTTGTTGTGCCGGTCGTCCTGCTCTTTATTTCAGATCGTCCTTTCTCTACTGATTATGCTGAGGTCACATGTGCACATTTCCAAACTGGGGCCTGGCCGGACAGTTTTATGGAACGAAAAATATGGTATAAAAGACAAAAAAAAGCCCCCAAACGTTGACAAAATTAATAATGGGAACTATTTGCATATAATATATAAATATTATATGATATATATAAATTGTTGATTTTTCGTCTATCAAAACAGCCCGGCCGCGCTTTGGAAATGTGACCTCAGCATTATTCGGACTGTCTGCCTCTCTGAGTAGTGTATTGTCTCTCTTTATCTAACACTGAGGCGGTACTGCATCTACCTTCATCATAAATTGATGATTCTTTCCACAATTGTTTGTGATTGTTCATCTTTCACAATGACCCAGACACTGACGAATGCGCCAGCAACCCTTGTCAGAATGGAGGCGCCTGTAATGACGCAGTGAACCAGTACACATGTACCTGTGCTGCCGGGTACGAGGGGACGCATTGTGAAACAAGTAAGATCTCTGTCACATGTCGTATGCTCATCGTAACCTAGAAAAAATAGCCTGAAGTTTTCTTATTATAATATTATCTACATGCAGAGTAGTTGGAAGAAGCGTATACTCAACAGAAATGCAGACAGAAACAAAATGTTGTTGTGCCGATCGTCCTGCTCGTTATTTCAGATCGTCCTTTCTCTACTGCTTATGCTAAGGTCACATTTCCAACCCGGGGCCCGGCCGGGCAGTCTTATGGAACGAAAAACATGGTATAAAAACAAAAAAAGCACAAAAACGTTGAAAAAATTAATAATGGGAACTATTTGCGTATAATATTGATATAAATTGTTGATCTTTCGTTAGTCAAAACAGCCCGGCCGGGCCCGGTTTGGAAATGTGACCTCGGCACTGTCTGTCTCTCTTTTTCTGATACTGAGGCGGCACTGCCCCTGTCTTCATATATAAATAGTTCTTTCCACGAACGATAACGTGATTGTTCATCTTTCACAATGACCCAGACACTGACGAATGCGCCAGCAACCCTTGTCAGAATGGAGGCGCCTGTAATGACGCAGTGAATCAGTACACATGTGACTGTGCTGGTGCCGCAGGATACGAGGGGACGCATTGTGAAACAGGTGAGAGCCTGTTCGTAAACGTCGTACGCTTGTCGTATCCTAAAATTATATTTAACAAGACTGGCAATGAAAACATACATTGCCATGGCGACGGTGGTTGCTGTTAGGGTTATTGTTTGCATGGCACTGCCATCATTTCATGATTTTTAGGAAGACTTGGTACCTGTTAAGTCTGAACAGATACAGTGCACTCCTCCCTTGAGTGTATAGTGAATGAGCCCCGGGGTCACAGAAAGTAGGGCCATCCGGGAAAGAGAGGTCTTCCCAAGGGTTTCCAGGAATGTGGACATAGATGTGGGTCAGAAACATGCCTGTGGACATTTCATTCCTGTGGACAAATGCCTGTACCATTCCTAGAAGTCTTGCAAACTGCACACAATACTGTACCATTAGGCTCCTCCCTGAGACGTCGCCAAAAATAGTGTATGGTTTATTAATATCTACAGACTTTGATACTTGTTCGCCTAAGTTTTCAATTGACGATGATCATATTTTCTTTTATATTCATGATCTGTTGATAGTAAAACTTGAAAATCAAACCGTTTCATCTTCCTTTATTACCCAGACACTGATGAATGCGGCAGCGGCCCTTGTCAGAATGGAGGCGCCTGTAATGACGCAGTGAACCAGTACACATGTGACTGTGCTGGTGCTACTGGATACGAGGGGACGCATTGTGAAACAGGTGAGAGCCTGTTCATAACCGTCGTACGATTTTCGTATCCTAAAATTATATTTAACAAGACTGGCAATGAAAACATGCATTGCCATGGCGACGTTGGTTGCATTTAGGGTTATTGTTTGCATGGCACTGCCACCATTTCATGATTTTGAGGTAGACTTGGTACCTGTTAAGTCTAGACAGATACAGTGCACTCCTCCCTTGAGTGTATAGTGAACGAGCCCCGGGGTCACAGAAAGTAGGGCCATTTGGGGCAGAGAGATCTTCCCAGGGGTTTCCAGGAATGTGGACATTCCATTCCTGTGGACAAATGCCTGTACCATTCCTAGAATTCTTGCAAACTGCACACAATACTGTACCATTAGGCTCCTCCCTGAGACGTCGCCAAAAATAGTGTATGGTTTATTAATATCTACAGACTTTGATACTTGTTCTCCTAAGTTTTCAATTGACGATGATCATATTGTTTTCTTTTGTATCATGATCTGTTGATGGTAAAACTTCAAAATCAAAACGTTTCATCTTCCTTTATTCCCCAGATACTGATGAGTGCGCCAGCAGCCCTTGTCAGAATGGAGGCGCCTGTAATGACGCAGTGAACCAGTACACATGTGACTGTGCTGGTGCTACTGGATACGAGGGGACTCATTGTGAAACAGGTGAGAGCTCTATATCTGTCTCATATGTTGTATGATCGTCGTATCCTAAAAAGTCAAAGAAAACAGGGTATTGTTTAAAGTTAAAACTTTTGGTCCAACACAAAAAATTCTCTCACCTATTAATTAAAGCTTTCGATCAGTCACTCTGGTCTTCCTCAGTAGACTGACCCAGTGTAGCTTGTCACGTGGCTTCTTTGAAGTAGACGATGTCGCCCCCCGTCGCGGTTTAATGAAGGGTGATGCGCCCTGATGTATATGGGTATTGATATATAATTTTGTTCATATTTACAGACATAGACGGTTGTGCAGCTACCCCGTGTGTCGACGACGCCACCTGTGACGACACTGCCGCTCCCGGCACCGGGGCCACCTGCACCTGTAACGCTGGATTTGACGGTGACGGTCTGGCCAGCGGATCTGGGTGTACAGGTATCATTTTTTTTTCTAAAGGCCGTGTAATGTTACCAAGATTCCTCGCATTGTATACAACTGCAAAATAATAGATATGTAGATACATTTAACGTAATACAGATATATAGATGTAAAGGTGGGCGTGTTTGTATTCGTTGGTGTTTGAATGCAGTAGCTAGCGTGGAGGGAATGAGGATTTTGTTACCGCAGATTGACCATAAGGTCAAGTTGGAAGGAAGGATCGACTGACAGGCTAGTTGAAAGTGAAGGCTCTATTTACTTAGGGCTTGTTCACAACAAGATTTCTGTCCTTCTATGGCCGTTAAAGTACGCCAAAACATCCCTGGATGTAACTTCACAAAAAATCTACATACTTCCGGGATGTTTCAAATTCTCCGATTGTTTTCAAGGCCGTTTACATGAAACACTTGCTTACTTCGCCCATTTCTGTTCAACTGTTCACAGCTACAACTACAGCTCCTCCGTGAGTTCATGAGGCATCGACAGAAGCTTAAGAGACAACAAACAACTTTTATCAACCAGAGACTTGGAACCATGACACGGCCTTATGACTGTCCAGATCAACGGAAAAAATTTACACGTAACAAACGGTCCTACACCAACTGTACTAAGTACATGTATATAGATGATGAGAGTTAAACTGTTCTCCAACTAAAAAAAGAATTGACTCACCGGAATTTCCGTCTGAATATATCTATATCTATCTATCTATCTCTATCTATATATCTATATCTATCTATATCTATATATATCTATATATCTATCTATCTATATCTATCTGTATATCTATCTGTATCTCTCTCTCTC